TTGTAAAGCATAGCTTTCTTGTAAACAAGATATGTCAATTCTTGCATGCTTTCACTAGTGATTATTCAGTTGCAGAAAAAAGTGCTAATATACATTAAAGATACATCTGTCTCTTGGATTATCTTTATAATATGTCCTAATTTTTACCCGTATTCTTATTTTTTATTTTAAAAGTTAGAAGTATTATTATTATTATTATTATTATGTGAGTTAAAAAAGAATGAAAAGATAGGAATAGAAGGAAAATTCAAGAATATAATATAACAAATATATTTAATATAATTATATTAATTATATATTTTAACAAATAAAAAATGGTAGTGTGTGTGGAGAAACAAGATAAAATAATAACATCATTAATCAACATTCCAATTGACATCACAAAAATAATTAATCACATACTCAATTTTATTATTTTATTATTTTAAAAAAAATTAAAACAAAATATATTGAATATAATCACATTAATTATATATTTGAACAAAGAAAATGGAGGAGAAAAAACATGTTTGATAGCAGCAGGAGGCATGAATCTATTTGACTATCAATACGACATCGTTTGGTGATCCAGACACTGTAAAAATAAACCAAGAGAAAAACCATATAAACCAAGTCATGGAAGAAGCGATTGAAAAAAGAAAAGAAATATTTAGGGTTTGGTTGAAACCAGAGGCTGTGGTCTATACTGATACCGCTTAGCGACGATCAAGTAGACACAGAAATTAACCAGACTCAAAATGGAAAGCAGCAAGAAGAAGAGATTCAAATGGTTCTTGTTGATATTATTGCCGGCTAACCATCCTCCAGATCTGGTAATGTTCTTGGTAGCAGCGTTGACTACCTGAACAAGTATGGTGCTGAGGAAATAACCAACCGCCATGGATGTCCATAGGAAGCAAGTGGAAATAGACTTGAGTGGTTTAGGTGCTTCTGAGTAGAAAAATTCAAGAAGACCCACGTAGGTAAACATGTCTGCTATCCCAAAAACAAAGTACTGAATGGATAACCAGAACGTTGAAATGGGAAGTGGTTGGAGAACTGGTTTAGCATCCAGCATGTCGTAATGTCGTGCAACAGATTTTCTTTTAACTTCGATTAGAGCTGCAATAGCCATGGATATGGCGGAGAGAAGGAGGCCAACGCCTATTCGTTGGAGGTGAGTGATGCCGGTGGGGATTCCGGTGAGTTTTCGGAGGAAGGGAACGATGATTTGGTCGTAAAAAGGGATGATGATGATGAGGAATCCGACGGGGATGATGGGGAGAGAAGCTGGTGGAATGTGGAAGGAAGCAATGGATGTGTCCATGGTTAGACCTTGTTGGATTGAGAAAGTTTGAAGTTGAGCCAGACAAAGTGTCATGATGATGGTGCAACAGAAGATTGGGAGCATGCTTAGTATGATCTTTGCGTTTTCTACTTGAGTAACTCTGCAGAGTTTCCATGGATTGATTTGAGAGCTTGAATCTTTCTCAATCTGCTCATTACCTGATTCCTTTCTGATAATGGCTGCTTTGTCCAAGAACCTGCATGTCATCACATACATATATATGTAAAGAGAAAACTCTACTAAGAATGTAATTTTCAAATTAAAAATAATGATTTATAAATTAACGAGACTTTTTATTTTATAAAGAATTAATGTTATAGATATGTTTTTTTGTTTTTGTTTTTTTTATGGGGTTATAATTTCTAAATTATTTTTTAATGTGATTATAATTTATGAATTAGAGTTAATTGTGATTTATGTATTTAGAATTTTAAGTTGTGTTTGTATCTATATATACTAATATACTTAGAATATTTTTTTGCAGTAATCACAAATAAAAACTTTATAATTTCTCTATCAGTCTCTCTCTATTCTTAAGATTTTTCCAACATCTTGAACAATTATAAAGCATTGTAAGCAAGAGTATTTACTAAATTATTATAATATTTTGGTATCCATTTATGTAAGAAAATTAAGAAAACATAGTCCCAAAATGAAAAACATATATTATTGGATGTTGGGTAATTAGAATAATCTACATATATAGATATATATATATATATGTATATATAAACCTGAGAACATCTCTATGAGGCAGAAATTCTGTGTCCAGAGCAGCTTCCTTGTCCTGATCAATCTCATAAAACTCCAGAGGATCGTCAGGAAGTTTAAGATTCCTGTTACGTATGGCTGCAACATATACCTGTAAGTTCATGTAAAATAAAAAACCCATTTTAACAATATAAAATCATGCTTATATATACAGAAAAAAAAAAAAACATAACTACATTGCAAATTAACCTGAATGATTTCAGTGAGAGCACTAGATCCTGTAACAGGTTGGATTCTGTACATAGGCCATCCAGTGAAAAAGATTATGATAGCCAAGAAAATACCAACAGTTGATAGACTAAATCCCCAGTCCCATCCTTTATTATCTTGAACCCAAACAAAAAGTGTTAAGCTCACTGCACCACCTATGCACAGAGCTAGCAACAGCAAGTTGAAGAAGGTTGACATCTGCTTAGTCTCGGCCGGATCTTTCTCGTCGAACTGATCCGCACCATGGGTCGGTAAAGCAGCTTTGATTCCTCCAGCACCAAAAGCAAGCAAGTATAAGCCGATGAAGAGAAGTGCAGAATTACCACCTTCAACTTTCTTACAAGTTTGGTTGTATATATCACATGTTGGAGGTCTTAGCTTGGGGTAATGAGCTTGCACTGTTAGTAATCCCAGTCCCTTCAAAATTCACGAGAATAAATCATTGTTTAGTTGAATAATTGATATATCTTTTCTTTAAAAGAAATTATGAATTTGAATCAAATTATGTTCTTATATATGTTCTTGTTTAAAAATTATTTCTACTGTATTACAATTAATGAATGATGCATAAGTTAACCAATAAATATATGCATACCAAGAGCTCTAGAAGTGCAGAGATAATTACAGCCTTAAATCTGCCAATATAAGTGTCTGCAAGTACAGCCACCAAAATTGAAAGGATGTAGCCGGTACCCATATAATTGGTTAGCTCATTAGCTGCATCAGCTAGTTCAAAATGCATCACCCCAGTGAAGTATGTCACTAGATTGACCGCTAATGATAGAGTAGCCATGCTCTCAAACCCAAAAGTGGCTGCAACCAAATAACCGATTCGAGAGTTAGTCATGTTATTCAAACTCGAGAATTATTGGTACAATAACTTTTTGATTCCAATCACTTGTTTCGAACACGTAAATTGGTGGCAGATTCGATTTGAGTTTTTGTATAAGTTCATATGCTTTATTAGTTCTATTGCACTTACATACTAATAATAATACAATTTTTTAATAATAATATATATAACATATAAAACAAATAATTTATAACTCGTAACTCATAATTTTATTAAAAAATATTGAGTTCTTATATAAAGTTCAAGAATTATATTCATTTCAATGGATATACATATAGAATTAGAGTGTAACACAAGTAACAAACCTAATATGAGCAAAGATGATGTAGTTCCTCCATGCTTATACTTGATAGCTCTTCTTCCTTTCCAATCCTCCTTTCCTTCAACAAACTCCTTATCCTCCTGCAATCAAATTGGAAAGCAAATTAAATTACATAGAAATGAACATTTTGTAAGCTAGATTAGGTTTTGATTTTTATACGACGAAATTCCAAAACTTTTCTCGTAAATTTTCTGATTCTAGCATTAGCACGAGCATAACAAAACCACTAAAGAGTACTTACCATATTTACCGTTTACTGCTGGTATTCAAATTAAAAACAAGTGTCTCTATATATAACAAAAATCAAAGGCTCTTGGGATTATGACCACCCCAATAATTTTGATAATGTCATTACAAGCACTGGTATAATTATATGATCTTGTCTATATCACTAAACTATTTATGAGTAAGCTACAAATAGAAGTAAACAACAATATGGAAAAGGAAAATAAAGACTGCAGATATCAGAAATAGGAAAGTAATGATATTATTATTGGTAAGAAAATTAGAGAAGTAAGGAAGATAAAGAATCTGAGATTATTACAAAAAGAATCCCAGAGGTTTTGTCGCAGCTCCAATGGAAACTTCCCTCTGCCACTTTCTTCAATCACTTATCCATGCAATCTCAGCACCTGAATTAATTTAGTATTTCTGGTAACGTCAAATAATAATTCATTCATTAAATAACACTTTGTAATCCGGCTCATATATATATATACATATATATATATATGAATAGATATACACATCTGGTGATTGATATTGTGACTGTTAAACCAAAGCGTCATGTTGTCTCTATTCCTGACTTTGTCAACCAGGCCATATGCAATTTTCAATATCTATTTCACTGCCATGCATGATATTCTTTTTAGAAATGGAAAATTTAGTACTAATGAATTTACTTTACATCAATATAATTTGACATATACAAAATATTATGAATATAATATTTGAAACTGAATGATCAATCATCTACTGTTTTATTGGAAAAAAAAAAAAAGTGATTTAAAATTAATTTTCAGTTAAAACTTTAGAAGAAAAAATAAAATAATGTTTGGTAAAACTTGTTTTACAAGTGACTTTCTGCATAAATTATGGCATTTATTTAATTAATTAATTTATAAAATTAACAATAAATATTGAAATAACAAAAAGTTACATTTATAATAAAATATTAATTACTAAATTTATCTAAAAGCATTGTTTTTTAAAAAAATTATTTTTATTTATTTATTTTATTCAATATAACTATTAATTTTATAGTATTATTATTTAATTTTAAATAAATATTATTTCAATAATATGCTAATTTTTTTTAATATATTATTAATTAAGTAAGATATTTCAATTGAAAATATTATTTATTTTCTTACAACATAATTCATTTCTTAAATTTATCTATTTTATTATAATTTTTTTTTATTTCATCTTCATAAGAACCAAATATAGCACTTAATCTAAGGGTAAAAAATGGGTCCAAACAGGTACTAAGAAAATTTACCAAGAAAGTTTAATTGCCATTTTTCAAACTCTATATATGTAAACATATATATATATATATATATCACACCAATAATAATATAACCTAATTTAATAACTAAAATTTTGGGGCATATATCCTCTAGGTTCTGATTCTCCCCCAAGTTCTTGTCCCAATCTTTGTATTAATTTGTTTGTTTGATTTTCCAATTGACAAGTGAAGACTTGTTCAATTGTTTGGGTTAGTGGGTAGGACATGTTTTTTAATTCCCAGTTGTTTCAACATACGTAAATATATTACTCTTGGCACTACCATAATATTTAATAAGCAAATGAAAGGAAAAACAAAAAAAAAAATAAATCCTGGCCGTCTATTAATCGGCCCGAACACGTGTCGAGATCTCATTCAATGTTAACCAATCACTTCCTCTTCTATCTTCTTCGTTCAATGAATATAAAGATTTTCTCTACTAACTATTTAACTCTCACGTAAGATTGATTATTTGTTCGTACGTACATTTTTACTTTGTATGTAAATCATATATCTTTACATACGTAATGAATGAATCAATCAACCGAAAAAAATATTTTGAATATATTATAATTATCTCGTTCAAATTTTTATACAT